AGGTTAGGTGGTGAACAAGTGTGGCAAATGGTTTATGACATCCCTAAAACAACTGAAGTAAGGATATGCAATGTTCCAGGTCATGGAAGATCCCATAATTGGACCAAACAAAGCATATTTTGGGATTTGCATATTGAAAAAAAAATTTATTAAGACATAATCTTGATGTTATGTATATAAAAAATATGTTTGTGAAAATGTGTTTCATATTATTATGGACACCAAAGAGAAAACTAAAGATAATGAAAATGCACAGTTGGACTTACCAAAGCATTATCATAGAAAGGAGTTATTTTTTTAAAATAAATTCTAATGGGAGCTATATAAAGCCTAAAGCCAAATTTTGTTTATCAAAGGAGCAAAAGAATGACGTGTGTGAATGGGTGAAGAGGTTGAAAATGCCCGATGGTTATGCTTCCAAACCAACTATTGTATGAATAAATTTAATAACCTAAAAAATCAGGCTTCTTCATGTAACAAATTGCTATCTAAGAAATTTTTGTGCAAAATTTTTTACAAACTAATATTTTCAAGAATTATCTACAATTTTTTTTTTTAAAATGAAAGAAAATTACCTACCAACTTACCTAGAGAAAGAAAATTTGTATGGAAAATTCTTGTAAAATTTTTTGTGAAAAAAAAAAATCTATAGAAAAATGACCTGCAAAATTATTTACCAAAATAATATATTTACTTGCGAATTTTCCTATGAAAAAATGCAGGAAATTTCCTGCAAAAAATTTCTGCAAGAAAATCTGCAGAAACTTCCTATAAATTTTATTCTTATGGAGGTTATTTTCTACCAACGATTTACGGCAGATAAATTTTTGTAAAAAAATCTGTATGAAACTTGTTTCCTACAAATTTGCAGGAAAATAATTTGTAGCACTAGGTCTCATGAATTCTAATTCTAATTTCCTGGTTCATAATCATATGATTAAGAGTGAAATATGGTTTACCTGAATATGTACTGGAAGCTTAGCATTCTTGTCATCATACTTGTGTTTTTGTGTTCATCCTTAACTGAGTAGTACGGATCATTATTATTGTTTCCTTTTAAATTTATTAAATTCTGTATGAAAATATTTATAAATGTGTATGCTAATTGCTAAATAATTATCCTTTTTTTTTTTTTTTACAGATTGAGAAATAATCGGTTAAGAGATAAAGGCTTTAAGAGGTATATTGAGATGTTATTAACCTATTTATAATAATATATCAATTATGAAGGGATTCTCATATACGACTAGCTGATACCAACACTTAGGGATGATAATAGGATTTTGTGGGAACAGATAGTAAGATACCCATATCCATCTTATAAAAAAATCATTTTATATTAGTTTCATATTTGTGTGGGTATTTGTTTCATGAATATTTGTGAATTTTATAAATATTTGATATCTATGAATATTTATGAATGTTTATGAATTATTTTTAAATTAAAAAATTATTATAAATAATTTTAAACTTATATTTGATGTTAAGTATATTAAAATATTAAAGATAAATAATTGATATTAATTTTTGAATTAGTAATTAATAATAATTCTTTTGAAATATTAAAAATAATATAAAAAATGTAAGACAAAAATATGAATATTTAAGTAACATTATTTAGTGGATATTTCATATTATCATACCCATCCCCTCATTTATAAATGGATAAAAAAAATATCCATACTCGTTATTTGCAGATTTTCATTTAAGTTATTTATTTATTATTATTATTATTTATGAAATAAGGGGCTAGAAGCCCAAAAATAACATACTAAAAGCCACGAGGAAAAGTTACAGCTGACTTGTCAGCAAATAAAGGAAGATTAACCCATCCCGGAGGTTGAGTGAAAACAGACACTCCCTCAGACAAGGAAAACCCATTTTTTGCAAACCTATCAGCTACTTGGTTTGCCTCACGAAGAATATGACTACATTCTAAATTCTAAATTTCACCTGCTACTCTAACAATATGATTCACTAAGGAATAACAAGGGTGCTCCCTAGAACAACCTTCGTTCAAAAACTTTACTGCAATTTCAGAATCTGACTCTATCAAAAAGTTTCCTTTCAAGTTCATCTCCTTAATGATTCTTAGTCCGTGGAAAATGGCCCAAAGCTCCGCTTGAAGGACTGAACAGGTGCCAATTTTTCCAGCAAAACCGAAAATAAACTTGCCAAGACAATCACGTAGAACTCCTCCGCACGCTGCATGTGCATTACCATCAACGGCTCCATCACAATTCAGTTTAAGAGTATTGTTTGGAGGACGAATCCAACCAATATGCTGGTTGGTTTTTAGCCTTGATTTTGCATGATCAATCTTTAGGATAGACCCCTTTTTAATTTCATTCACGCGACCAAGAACTTCATGAGAAATATGGAGTTCGTGCATTTTCACTTGATTAAAAATAAGCATATTTCGTGTTTTCCATATAGAATCAAGACCTAATGCAAATGTTGTGGCCCAAGAAATCTTTTCTGATTCCAAATTGGAAGTTAACCAATCCTGCAAATGAGTTTCAAAGAAATCTCGGACATTTGAGACTGCATGGAGATGTTTCCAAACGGACTTTGCAAAAACGCAATCATGTAAAATGTGAATGGAAGTTTCATATTGTTCTGAGCACATTAGGCAGCTTGCATCCGTAGAGAGTCCCCAACCAACTCTCCAGACATTTGTACACAAGCTGTTATGAACCACTCTCCATAGAAAACAACGGACTCGTTCCGGACCATTCCAATTCCACACCACAGGAAATAAAGGGTTGTGTCTCGAGACGTTATGGTTTCGGAGAGAAGCATACGTGGATTTGATGGTAAATTTGCCATCTCTTGAACCTCCCCACACAATGCAGTCTGCCTCGTTTTTGCCATTTGGGGGAGCCATTCCCAAGATTTCAGAAACCATATCTTGGGGCATATATTGTCGAATCCTCTCAATTTCGCAGTTCCCAAATGGATTTATATAGTCAGCCACCACCTTTTGTCTCTCCTCACTTGGTAAACTTGGATCTACATTGTTAACCAAAACAGTGCGGGATGGTAGCCACTTATCACTCCAAAACTTCACCGTCTTTCCGTCCCCAATATTCCATGTTAACATGGGAAGAACCGTCCCCCAAGCATGACAAATACCCCTCCATATGTTCGATGCCACCTTTTTACAAGCTATCTTTGGAATTATCCCGTCACCACAACCATATTTTGACCTAAGAATTTGCACCCATAATCTCTCTGGTTGAGAGCAAATAGTCCAGCAGTTTTTCATCATAAAACTTGTATTTACCATGCGAAATTCTCTAATGCCAAGCCCTCCTTCTTTCTTCTCTTTGCAAACAGTTGACCAATCTAATGCATGAATTCGGCGATAATCCATGGTGTGTCCCCAAAGGAAAGTTCTGCATGATCTGTCAAGCTCATCACAAAGTTGCCTTGGGAAAAATACTGTCTGCATCGTATAAGACGGAATGGCAGCTAATACCGATCTAGTGAGGGTAAGGCGGCCAGCGAATGAAAGCTTCTTGACTTTCCACTGATTTAATCTTCTATTCACGTGCTCCATTACTGAGTTGAGTGTCCTTTTGCTAACCCGTGTATGATGCAATTGGACCCCAAGGTATTTGCCTAGATTGTCTGTTCGTTGAAAACCAAGTGTATCACTAGTTTCATTTTTGACAACCCATCCAACATTCTTGGAGAAGTGGACTCGTGTCTTGTCATGGTTGACTTTCATACCTGAACTTGTGCAAAATAGTTCAAGGCATGTTTTGATTATCTCCGCTTGTTCTAAAGAAGCTTCAGAGAAGAGAATTAAGTCGTCTGCAAAGGCCAAGTAGGAGAGCGGGGGGCCTTTTTTTGAGAGCTTGATAGGTTTCCATAATTCATGTGTCACAGCAATCTCAATTAAATGAAATAATCGCTCCAAACATAAGACAAATATATATGGAGATAGCGGATCACCTTGATGGATTCCTCGAGAGGGTTTGAAAGTCTCTAAAGCTTCTCCATTCCATAAAACTTGCATTGAGGACGTTGAGTAACACTGATGCACCAGTTCAATGAACGAAGTGGGAAAACCAATGTCGTTTAATGTGTCTTTAATGAAGGACCAACTTAGCTTATCATAGGCTTTCTCTAAGTCTATTTTGATGGCCATCCAACCTTTCTTCCCAGAGCGAATTCGCATGGAATGTATTACTTCCTGAGTTATGATGATATTATCAGTCGTCTGTCTGTTAGGGACGAACCTACATTGATATGGTCCTACTAAACTCTCCATCACTCTTCTTAGTCTAGTAGCCAACATCTTGGTCAACACTTTGTAAGACACATTGCATAAGCTAATCAGTCTCATCTGTTTCAGTGAGGTTACCATCTCTATTTTGGGAATTAGAGTAAGAAAGGTATGGTTTATCTCAGCTACCTTAGTAGGGTCTTCTTGAATATCATGGATTAATTTGCATAACGAAGGTCCAACAATTTCCCATTGTGATTGATAGAAAATCGCCTGGAAACCATCAGGGCCAGGTGCCTTGAGGCTACCTATCTGCTTCACAGCATCAAAAATTTCTTGATCGAAAAAAGGAACCTCGAAGAATTGTTGGTCGTGATTGGAAAGTTGAGGGCATGACTTTGATAAACAGAACTTCTCAACCTCACCATCGGCAGCAAATAGGTTCTTATAGAAATTTGTAGCCATATTTTCTAAGTCAGACTTACCATCTATCCAGTCTCCATTCTCGTTTTGTAGCTTGCCTTCTAATTACAGTTATCCCATGGAAATAACTAGTGTTACGGTCACCAAAAACAAGCCATTTACAACGCGATTTTTGGAAATAACTAGGGGTTGTTTCGTTGTTGGAGATTTAGTGTAATACCATTTAAACGTCTGAGGATTCTACGTTTCTCGAAGAATATATTATTCCAAATGACGTACGGTTCCATCCCACCAAGTGGTTTTGAATTTGTTTCAATTGACTCGACCAATTTTGCATCATGTCCTAATTAGAACGAATTTGGTTTGAGAAGTCTGGGTGTGTGAGCCAAGCAGCTTCAAATCGGAAGGGCCTACGACATCTGCTAGCTTGCCAAGAAGTATCAAATTTTAAGAGTAGAGGGCAATGGTCTGACTTCATTAGGTTTAAATGGAAAACATCAGCCTGTGGAAATGTGAGTTGCCACTCCAGGTTCATCAAGACTCTATACAGTTGTTCATACAGCATGCCACGTCGCCAGGTGAAAGGATTCCCTTGGTAGCCCATGTTAATGAGGTTACATTCCCGTACCAACTCCCTAAATGCGTTATCTCCCCTATGACAAGATGTCAGAGAGCCACCCTGTCTTTCGTTATCTGCCAAAACTGCATTGAAGTCAGCAATTAAGCTCCAAGCTCCTCGGATTTCAGATGCAATCTTCTTTAAATCTCTCCATAGTTCGATGCGAAATTGTGGGTGTGGACTACCATACACCACGGTAAGATTCCAAGAGTTTAAATTGTCTTTAATTGCGAAATGTATCATCTGGTTTGAGTGCCTCAGAACATCCATTGTCCAATTTGTAGAATCCCAAAGAACCCATAAACCTCCTGCTTGACCCCTTGCTTCCACCACAAAACATTTATCTAACTTTATTCTTTTGATAACTCTCTATGCTTGACTTCCACTGATATGTGTTTCTAGTAGGCATATGATACCCACATTATATTCTTTAATAAGATCATTAACAAGTGTTGCAAATCCCTTAAACCCTGCACCTCTACAATTCCAACTTATAACATTCATTATAACGGTTTTGAGGTGTTGGGTGTTGACACCCGTGTCTTTCCTTGGTCCGTATCAACCATGTCTTTATCTTGATGTTTGGAACTTGCACTTGGTTCGAGATGACGTTGCATAAGAGTTGCAAACTCCAAAGTCTCAGCATCTGGATAGACCGTGTGAATGCTAGGGAGCGAATCTCTCCCTTGATCGTAATATGTATTAGTCAAAAACTTTTTTAGGCCTGCGAGTACCCTTGCTGTGTTGTCTTCCTCACGTACTGCATGTAAAGATGACGTACATGCTTCGGATTTGTTTCCCATGTAGGAACTCGTGTGGGATCCACCCTTGGTCACATTAGTCTTTGTATCACTCTCATGGGCAGGCTGAGATGTGATTGATTCACTTTTCTTTTTATCTTGAGGATTTTTGCCACCTGACCCATTCCGTAGTATCATAACTGATTTTTTATTCGTTTTATCAACATGATTTGGATATCCGACTTTCTCTCTCCTATCTTCTGGTGGTGGAACCTTTGTATTTAGAATAGGATCGAGATTCCCGTTATCTGAATTTAACAGCATCTTGTTCTTAAAATCTCCATTTCAATTTTTTTGGGATTTCTTTTTACGATTCACAATCATCCACGGCCCATATTTCTCCTCAGAATCCAGGATTTGATATTCTTGATTATTCTCTGGTTTGGCATGATCTACCGGTTTAGGGTTGATCGCTAGTCTTGGAGAATTATCTTTGTCTCCATCAACCTCCATGGGAGGTTTGTTTTGTTCATCCTCTGTTGCCAGATCTGAAATGCCTGATCGAAGCGCCTGCTTGTTGTGCACATTGATCCTTTTTGTGGCCATATTTACCACAATTGAAACAAATTGAATGTAAGCCTTCATATTCTAGCTTGAGGATATGGCCTAGGACATCTATTTGTGACACTAATTTCTTCTGAAGATCAATCTCTACACAAATGCGAGCAAACCTGCCACGCGTTTGGATAGAAGTGAGTTTGTCAATTTTTAGCATTGTTCCCAGTTTGCTTCCAATCCTCCAAAGGAATTTGTCATTGAATAACTCAATTGGAAGCCCTGGAATACGAATCCAAGCCGCTATCTTTCGGGTTTTTGATGCAGTGAACGTGAAGAACGGTCGCCAGCGTTGTACTACTATGTAATGATCAGCTAAAAACCATGGTCCTTCAAACAAAGCATGCTTATAGTCTTCTTCAGATGTAAACTGCACCAGATAATAATCTTGAGAGATATCCACCAACCGTACAGCACCTGTTTTTGCCCATTCTCGTTGCACTTTATTGTCGATCATTCTAAAGGCAACACGTTTGCCTAACACATGAATTACTAAAGAGTTCCTCCATGGTGCACACCATTCCTCGAACTCTTCTTGGGTCACATGGATCTTTGGGCATGGATCCAACTCTGTCTCATCCATAAACGTTTCATCGTTCTCCTTATAGAAACCTTCCTCAGGACATTCCATCTCTTGTAACAAACTATTAAAATCCGTGAAGATTCTCCCTCCATCATTTGACAGCAGACTATCCATATACGATTTAGGAGGATTTTGGGATGGAGGATCAACAACAATGGTTTCCTCCATGTAAGCATCAGTTTGTAATGGCCCTTCATATTCATACTCCTTTGTTTTGACTTTTTTTGTGTGTCGTTTGGGGGGATCATCTAAAGACGACACCCCTTCCATTCTCAATACGATGACCGGAATACGTAATTGTTTCTACCAATTTTCTGATGAGTAAGCTACCGAAATGTATATGTATGTGTTAGTATAACTTGTACAAATTAATTCATTTAAGTCATCCCAATTGCATCTGAATAGCTGGGCTCAACTACAAGGTTTCAAACATTTGTGTCGATGCCTGAGCATTAGGCCTTCTCCATTTCTTTTCCTTTACTTCTATTCGTCCAGACCGTCTGATTTGACGAAGTGGGTGTCTCTAAGCCGAGTGGGGACTCGGCAACTTTTAGATAGCTTCACTTCTTCATATAAGAATTTCAAAGCTGGGTTCTTCCGAGTGACCATTCGGCCGAATGAACGTCGTTTCTTCTTTGGTGCGAACGACAAAAGTTTGTTTTCGTTGTACTGGACGCGTGCCCCTCGGCCATATGATGTTGTGCCGGAAGATCTTCTCACAACCGAAGAGCAAAAGAACTTGAAATTATTACTTCTCCTTCCTCGGCGCTTGCCGACAAGGTCACTAATAAACGTGATTGAGTCCCCCGAATGGGAGAACGACCTTATAGGTATGTGATTTTTCCTACTTCGGCGGCACGCTAAATTCATATTGATGTTCACTTCATTATCTTTGCAGGAATCATGGTATATCCAGTGGCGCCGATGCATTCAACATTCGAAACCTGCTGGCCGACAGGATGGCGCAGGCCAAACAAGGCGAAGGGGTGGGTGATAGTTCAGGTGTGGCTCGCACGTCGTGACCATTGCAGGACGAAAAAGCTCTTTCTTCTCCCGACCGTAAGCGCCGAAAGGGTAACAAGGGTAAAAGGGTCGACCAGGGTGACTCCAAGAGAAAAAATGATCAAGAGAGGGCCGACAAGCCA